ATCAAGAAGATGTGGAGAGGGCCTGGGAGCTGGTCCAGAACACAAGTGAGTTCTGGGTCCTGGGATTGGGTTGTGTTCTTTGTTGTGTTTCACTGCATTGTGGTGCACTGAGAGTTGTGTGTTAACTTGCGTTGCTGTGTGATGCAGTTCCTGGTGTGTAGCTGTGTTGTGATTATGGGGTTGTTGTTGTGTTGTGTCATTTTGGTGATGGAGTTGTCATTGTGTTGTTGCAGCATGTCATGTCATTGTGGAGATGAGGTTGTTGTGTCTTGGTTAGTTATGCTGTAGTAATGGGGTCATTGTATTGCGGTCATGGGGTTGATGTGTGTTGTGTTCTGTTGTGTTGTCAGGGTTGTGATGGTGTGGCAAGCTATGTTTTGTCATCATATTGTGGTGACGGGATTGTCTTTGTGCTTTTGGGGTGACAGGATCATCCTTGTGTGTTGTTTTAGGTTGACAGGATTGTCATTGTGTTATTGTATGTTGGGTTGTGTCATTTTCCTGTGGTGACAGGGATGTTGTATTGCAACAATGGTATTGTCATTGTGTGTTGTGTTCTGTTTACAGGGTTATCACTGTGTGTTGTGGTGCCAGGTCTGTTGTTGTGTGGTGACAGAGTTGTCATTGTGGTGCAGTGTTGTTTTGACAGGAATGTTGTGTTGGGGTTACAGGTTTGTCCTGGTATTGTTGGCATGGTGGGGTTGTTGTGTTGGGATGATGGAGTAGTCATTGTGTTGTTGTGTAGTGTTGCCTGAGAGGGTTGTTGTGTTGTGATGGGGTTGTCATTGTGTGTTGTGTTGTTAGGGTAACAGGTTTGTCCTGGTGTTGTTGTGGTGACAGGGTCGTTGCTGGGTGGTGATGGTGTTGTCACTGTGCTGTTATATAGTGTTGTGGAGGGGAGTTGTCGCATTGTGTTGTGGTGATGGGGTTGTGAGGTTGTTGCATGTTGGGGTGTGTGCTGTGGTGACGGTTGTTGTATGTTATGTTGCTGGAGGGTTATTACTGGGGTGACAGGGTTGTGTGTGTTGTGGTGACGCGGTTGTCGTTTGTTGTGGTGACGGGGTTGTGAGGTTGTTGCACGTTGGGGTGTGTGTTGTGGTGACGGTTGTATGTTATGTTGCTGGAGGGTTATTACTGGGGTGACAGGGTTGTGTGTGTTGTGGTGACGGGGTTGTCGTGTCCCACCCCCAGACAGCTTCACCTGGCGAGGCACCAACACGGGGGCAGCGTTGGGCCAGGTTCTGTCCCTGATCCAGACGGAGCCGTCCAGAACCAGCACCAGGAAACACGTCGTGGTGCTGATCACAAGTGGTGAGACAGACCCCCCCCCATGGGGCATATACCCCCCAGGGCAGACATTTGGGCTTAACACCCCCATAGACCTGCCTGCCTGCCTCTGGGGATCCCCCAGACCTCCCCGCCCTAGGACCCCCAGGGACCCCCATGCCCCCTCAGCCCTCCACCAGCCCCCCACTCTCCCTGGCACCCCAGCACTCCAAGGGCTAGTGCACAGGGATAGGAGCCCAGCCCAGCCTCCCCCCCCAACTCCATTGGGGGCATCTTGGCTCACGGTTCCTCCTTCCTGCCCCACCAGGGAGACACAATGTGGGGCCGGACCCAGCCGGGGTCTCAGCACAAATCCAGGCGGCCATCCCCAACCCGGACCAGAACTTGGGTAAGTGGACATGGTAACAGGGAATGGGGCGGGGGCCTGCCCCCACTAGGGGGCGCTGGCTCCCATCCCGCCCCAGGGCCAGGCCTGGCTGGCTCAGGGGGGCAGGAAATGGGGCCCGGGGCCTGTCTGCTCTAGGGGGCGCCGGCTCCCATTGGGCCTCAGAGCAGGGCCTGGCTGGCTCAGGAGGGTGGGAATGGGGCAGAGGCCTTGCCCCTAGAGGACTTTCCCTAGTGACCCCCTCCACCCCCAGATATCTTCGCTCTGGGGGTCGGGGTTGCCCACAAGGACCAGATGGAGCAAATCGCCACGAAGAAGCCGGGAACCCAAAGATCCTTCTACCTGCAGAGCTACCGTGACCTGGGGGCCTACACCCAGCTGGTGCAGGGCTTGGGTGAGTGGGGGAGACCAGAGGAGGGGAGTGGAGGGGGCTGGGAGTCAGGACTCCTGGGTTCTATCCCAGCCCTGCGAGGGGAGTGGGGGCTGGCGGGTTAGAGCAGGGGGGGCTGGGAGCCAGGACTCCTGGGTTCTATCCCAGCCCTGCAAGGGGAGTGGGGGCTGGTGGGTTAGAGCAGGGGGGCTGGGAGCCAGGACTCCCTGGGTTCTGTCCCGGCTCTGGGAGGGGAGTGGGGTCTAGTGGTTAGAGCAGGAGGGGCTGGGAGCCAGGACTCCTGGGTTCTATCCCAGCCCTGCAAGGGGAGGGGGGGCTGGTGGGTTAGAGCAGGGGGGGCTGGGAGCCAGGACTCCTGGGTTCTATCCCAGCCCTGCAAGGGGAGGGGGGGCTGGTGGGTTAGAGCA